TGCATTAGGGTCTTAAAACCAGTGGCCTGGGTTTGGTTGTGACTTGAAATGAAAACGTGCAGCTGCCTTTGGCATCTTCAGAGCTTTTCCCATCATGCACCAGATGCGGGAGTGTGTAGGCTCACTATGATTTGGATTCATCCTGGGAGGCTGTATGCACCCACTCATCATTAGACCGCTCATTTCTTCTCGAGCTCTTTGCTCTCTTCTAATCTAAGTAAAACCCTTAAATATCATCGACCTTCAGATAGCGAACTCATGTTAAAGTGGTATGGATCTGTTATAGCTTTATGTTAAAGTTATAAACCCCAGCCCTGCTTTTATTTATTTATTTATTTTTTATTTAAAACATCCAGACTTCCTTCTTATTTTTAAAAGTGAACTGAATCAGGGGTTCAGTGCTTATATAAATATTACTGGAAATTCTGGCTACTTGGTAGCAAGATGTAAACAAGCTAACCAAAATGTAAAAAGGCTCTTCCAGTGAATGTCTCATCGGGATTTATTCATAAAATGCAAGGACAGCCACTGCTGAGCCAGAGAAACCCACTAAGAACAAAACTGCACTCTCTAATGTGAAATATGAACAAGGTTCATCTCCAGGTGTTTGCACACATAAGGTCATTTGGTGTTTGGATGTATGAGGTCCAATTTACTGAAAATATAGAAAACAGATAAAGAAATAACGAAGCCAGTTAAAAATAGTTTCCATCCAATAAATAAAATAGGCTACTGTATATAGATTAAATTTGTTTAAGCTATTTTATATAAATAAATTCATATTAGGTAAAGTAAAATAATAGGCCCTCCAAACTACGGGGCACTCCTTAAAACTTGTAAAAATGGAAGTATATTCCACTGCATATGCATAAGTTTAAACAGAGATTTTCTGATAAATCCAACCTTTAATCAAGATTTTCAGTGGAGAAACAATTTGTGGGAAATTACTTTTTTTTTCTTTTGTTAAAATAGTTAGACCAGTAATGGCAGGGCTCAGGGGTTAGGGGTTCAGAAGTAGAAAAAAAAACATTGTTTGTGTTTTGTGATTTAATATACACACTAAGCAGTGGATAAACCAACACATTGTTGCCTCTGAAAGGGTGAGGCTTTAATCTCTCATTTATGGAGGCATGGAAGTGACTCTATGCATGAGATCCATGGGTCATCCATTTATGGACGTAAAGAGAAATACAAAAACCTTTTAGCAACAAACACCCCTGGTGGGTCTGGTCTCAAATAGTGGATTAATATGTGTAAAAGCAGGTCACAGCTATTATTAATTTATTTTATTTATTTATTTTTTTCTTTATTTAACCAGGTAAACCCCATTGAGATCTGGATCTCATTTTCAAGGGGGACTTGGGAAGAGATCTGCAATACACTGCAACCTGGTTACAAAAAATAAAACCAATTAATACATATGCACGAATTCAAAACAATAAAAACTATTTAAAAGCAGTGACACTGTTTCATAGAAGCTTGTTGTCTATCTTTAAGAACTGCTCCAAATAAGTCCAATGAAATATTGTCTGACATCTTGAGCTCAGACTGGAGCTGATTCCACGCTGTAGGAGCAAACACACTGAATGCTTTCTTGCCTTTAGTTCGAACATGAGGAACATGTAGAAGAATAAAGTCATTAGAGTGTAAAAAATGTGAACTACTACATCTATGCAAAAGAGAGCTTAAGTATGTTGGTGTTAGTCCAAGGAGAGATTTATATATTAGGATCATCAAATGATTGTTTCTTCGAACACTTAAAGGAGGCCAATCAGCTTTTGCATAAAAATCACAATGATGTATCAAACGTCTGCTACCAGTTATAAGCATTAAAGCACAATGATAAACAGTATTCAGTGATTTCAGACATTTGGTTGAAGCATTCATATATAAATCTTCATAATCCAGAAGTGGCAGGAATGTTGCCGCTACGAATTTACTTCTAGCTTTGAGTGAGAAACACGATCCATTTCGATAATAAAACCCAATCTTTTTCAATGTTTGTAATAGATTTACTATGTGATTTTTAAAAGAAAGATCATTATCTAGAATAAAACCAAGATATTTATAATTACTCACAAACTCAATTTGTGCACCTACTGCAGTTGTAGATAATGAAGGGATTCCTGGTAGTTTAGCAGAGTGTGAGAAAACCATTGCCTTAGTCTTATCCACATTCATGGTTTAATCATAATTATGGTGGGGGTGGGCTGTGTGATGCCTTTTCTCTCTTGAAAGTCCAAGGAACCTTGTAGAATGGTGTGAACTCAGATTGTAAATCACCCCATGGCTTTCGTCAGAAAATGAAAATGGGTCCAATTGGTTCATTCAGCGGGGGGAGAAAGGCTTGGACAGAACTGACAAGAAACATTTAGGCTGAGCTGAAGGGAGGAGAGCATCACATAGGGACTCCCTCTCTTTAGTTTTGTGCAGCATTATAGATAAATAGTCTTATGGTTAATAAGGGGATTGTTACACAGTGTTTATAGCAGGGGAGCCAATCATTCTGCTAAGTGGGATTTCTGTCAAATTAATTGGTTCTTAATAAAGGCAATTTTCTTCTCCTGAATAAATGTCTTAAAGGTTAGATCTTGAATTTTTATGTTTTTTTCCCCAGTCATTTTTATGTTGTGGGAAAGTGCTGTAAATAGCAAACGTGATTTATAGCTTGTTTTTGCTACAATACCTCTGAAAAGAACAGCTGAATAGAATCTAGAAATTGGCTTTTAGATTAACCTTAAAGATTAATGTACTTCAGATTCCAATGACAGGAGGACATTCCTCGTATTTTTGTACATGCAATCAGCTCACATTGCTGTATTTTCAGAGAACAGGTTGAATTTCCTCTCTATGGATTTTATTGTTCAGTGAGAGGCGCTATGGTGACTCAGAGGTTGGTTTTTATTGAACAACCTGGATAATAAAAGCAGCCTCCTCGTTGCTGCAGCCATTTTCTGTCTCAGAGCCCATGAGGCTCAGCGAGGGGCGGATTTCCCCTATTCGACTCGGTTAATCCTCTGTTATTAGAGCCAAGCATTCGGCCAAACTACATACATAAGTCTGTGAGGTCCACACTGTGTTAAGAGAATGGGATCCCATGAAAAGATGAATAAAGGTGTGGACATAACCGAAAATGTTTTTATATCTTTTGCAATTGGACTGAGAGGAGCGAGACGTTTGATTGGGTGCCTCACATGACGAGCTTTTAAATCAGCTGTAAGCTGTCGGTGTCAACATTTTTAGGATTTAGTGTCACTTTTATTCACATCTGAGTTTTTTCCCCTGTTTCAGACTCAAACAGCTGAGACTGATATCAGTTCTGAGGTTGTTAAAAAACCAAAAAGAAAAAAAAAAAGGCATAAATTGCCAGTTAGGGGTTTGGAAGATGCGGTCCAGTTGCTATCAATATTATAATTTATCAAATTTACATTCATTCACTCATATAATTAGTAAGTTAAGAAGTGTTAAATTTGAAATAAAAACACTTAGTCATAAATATATCTATGTTAATGTTTATGTTTATGTACTTATTCAAAAATAAATGTGAACTTCCAGTTAGATTTTCAGTTTCATTTTCTTAACTTTGACAATGTTCTTTGTTGCACGTTGCAAGACTTTTTGTGATAATGTCTAATGTCACTGACTCTTTAAATTGGGTATTTTGTCTGATTTTGCACTAAGTACAGATTGTACCTTTAGAATATGCTCCGCTTTCCTCTGTCATCATTTGCAGATACATATCTTCACTTCGCTGAATCTGATAAAGGTCAAATATTGATTGCAGGATTTAGGAATAGCTCCAACAAAGTGATTTCCAAAAAGCTATGAGATGAAACTGGCTTTGATTCTGTCAAGTCAGGTTGTAGACAGTCAAAAGTAAACCTTTAAAAGAAAAGCCAAGCTGTTATACCAGTGTATCTCAAAAGATCATGGTGGAATCTATTTTCTTGGAAGGAAGGAACTACTTAAAACTCATGCAGGGCACTGGATGTAAAGAGCTTGAGGAGTTTAGTTTATAAATAACTAAACAAGATGCTTTTATTTTAACTTTCACTCTTGCATCTGGTCGATTCATTCTGCTGAATAAAATAAAATACCACATCAAAATTGTAGTCTTCACATCATCATTGTTGACCTAAACAATTTGCAAAGGATATTTATTAATGGAATAAAACACTGTTGCAAAGAAAGTAACAATATAAGGCTAACAAATACAGTTCATTGCATACTGCACTGCTCTTTTCTGTAAATGTGAAAGAAAGAGTAGCTTCTGCATGAATTTAACATCAACGTTCAACAGGTTTTCTGCTAAGTTTAGGTTCTTCTAATTAAGGGTCTGCAAGCTAATAAAGCTGCTGCTGGTGTTGTCCTTGTGCAGCATGTGATGCTGCGCACATGCTCTCATGCAATGAATGCCTCCCCTCCCTCTGACAGAAATGCTGCAATGCGTCTTCCTCAGCTAGCACTGGGTCAGTGTAACCACAGCAGCAGGTGGAGCTTTACCATATAAACAGCCAATGAGACTGATAGCAGAGGATTTTTTTTATATGTTTGCCGTGTTGCTGTATTTGTTAATAATTTGACCCATTAGTGTAGGTTTTAGTACAGAGAGCAATTTATAAAGAGTGGAAACGGGTGGGGGGGTTGAAGATGCCTGCAAGGGATCCATCCTCACTAAATGATTCAAACATTAAAGTGAAATTAAAGAAGAAGCTCTGAATTTTTTTTAACTTATCTTTGAAGTACAACCTTATTTATGTCTCATTTTTCAAAAAATTTAATTACAGTTTCAATGACCTTCAAATTTTGCTTCCTAATCAAAGTATTTGAGCTGCAGCATCAATAATGTTGGACAGAAATTTAAGTTATACCTTTTGGATCATAGTGACATCTCTTTTCAAGTTTTTTTTTGTTGGCTGCTGGCTCCATCTGATAATCACAGGAAATGCTTTGTGTTTAAGAGCAGGTCTGATTTTTTTTGTTTTGTTTGTTTTTTGTAGGTCAGAGAACTCTTCAGTACCAGAATGATGTCCTTCAGACTGTAGTGTTGGTGAACCCATCAGAGGAAACCGTTTGTTTAGAGGTGCGTCTCCTTCCATAAGACACCCTGATGAGAAAATTTGTAGCAATTATGGATGATAAACTTTTATTAATATGAAAACATGCAGTTTTACCATCCATCCTCCCTTTTATATATGGCCAGTGAGGACTTGGCGAGGTTTTACAGATGTGTTTTGGTCCACCTCTCTTTCCCAAATGTTGAATATGATCAAAAGTCTTAATGAGACAGGTCTTTTTAATGTTTAAAGATGTCTTAGGTTTTAAAAAAGAAAATAGTCACCTGAAATAAAAAGATACTAATTTTGTTCTTGAGAAGAAAAACAGTCTGATTTTCTTAGATGATCTATTTTTGGTATTAAATGAAATAGAGGTTGCATCCGTACAGAAGCTGTCAAAATATTCATTTTAACTACCTAGCAGCTCTTTAGTTTGGGTCTGAATGTTTGAACTTTTTGTTATTGATGTTTAACGAAGATGTTTAACTGTCTTTGTTGGAACATTTTCTTTTACAGTTATTAACCTGGCTAATGCCATGCTACACATTTAAGACATTCCACAGAGTATTTTGCTTTTGATTCGTGATTTTTTTTGTGTGTTTGTCCTTCACCCAGACAAGTTATTTGATTACTGACGCTGCTACTAATAAGTTGCTCGTTCTGAGCGGCCTGAGTTCTGACCAGGGAGGTGACATTCTTCTGGAAAGTGGAGCTTTCACTTGGCAACACTTTTCTGATATCATCTCTAACCCTCAAGTAAGCTTTTGACTTCATAAAGCCATAGACTCTTCAGATTAATAAATGTATGATAAATGTATTATAGAGCTCCCTCTCCTCTGTTTCTGCATTTTAGGTCATTGAAGTCCTGTCCAGGGCCTCCTCAGAGCTCCAATCCAAGCTTACTGTTTCTTGCCAGGGAGACGGAGGCTGGAGCTCCCTGGGCCAAAGCCAGGAGCAGCAGCCACTCCTTAATAGTCTTGAATATCGCTTAAACCCTGAGCCCCATCTACCCAACATGGATGGAGTCACAGAGTTCACAGAATATGTCTCGGAAACAGTGGATGTACCATCACCTTTCGAGCTTCTGGAGCCACCAACCTCTGGTGGGTTTCTGAAGCTGTCCAAACCTTGCTGCTATATATTTCCTGGAGGCAGGGGAGACTCTGCTCTTTTTGCCGTCAATGGATTCAACATCCTTGTGGATGGAGGGTCAGAGAGGAAGGCCTGCTTCTGGAAGTTAGTTCGACACCTAGATAGGATCGATTCAGTCCTGCTCACTCACATTGGAGCAGACAACCTGCCTGGAATAAATGGGTTGTTCCAAAGAAAGATTGCAGAGCAGGAAGAAGAAAAGAACCAGGGGTGTGGTTCCAGTAGTAATAGTGACTGGATGAAGAACTTAATTTCCCCTGAGCTTGGGATTGTGTTTTTTAATGTCCCTGAAAAGCTAAGGATGCCAGAGTCTACAATGAAGGTAAAGCGGAGCATTGAAGAAGCATCTCTCACATTGCAATACCTCAACAAGCTTGGCATAACACCAGAGCCTCTTCACAGGGTAGTCAGCAACACCATTGAACCAATAACACTGTTCCACAAACTTGGTGTGGGAAAGCTTGATATGTACATCTTGAACCCTGTAAAGGAAAGCAAAGAAATGCAGTTTTTGATGCAAAAATGGGCAGGGAATAGTAAAGCCAAGACAGGAATCATGATGTCGAATGGAAAGGAAGGAGAAATTTCTGTCCCTTATCTAACTTCGGTTACTGCTTTAATTATTTGGATCCCACACCGACCCACAGAAAAGATAGTGCGCGTTCTGTTTCCTGGAAATGCACCGCAAAATAAAATCTTTGAGGGCCTTGAGAAGTTAAAACACCTGGATTTCCTGCGATACCCAGTGGCCACTCAGAAAGACATATCATCTGGCGCACCACCCGCAATCATCAAGCAAACTAAAATAAGGTCAAGAACAGACAGCAAAGAGAGTCTCAAATCTTCCCCAAAACCTCATGCTAAAGCTTCTAAGAAAGAAGCCAGTGGACAAGAGGAGGAGTCAAAAAGTGAAGCCACTAAAGACAATAAAGTTGAGAAGAAAGAGGAGAAGAAACCCAAAAGTGACAGTTTAAAAGCCACCAAACAGCAAAAAAACAGTGAGGTGGCTCCTGGGGCCGAGAAGATACCAAAAAAGAAAATTTCCAAGGAAAAATCTACAAAAAAAGAGAAAGCATCTAAGATGGATGAAAAGAAAGACAAGGAGAAGAAGGAAACCAAAAAAGAAAAGGTAAAGAAAGATGAGAATATAAGGAAGGAAGAGAAAAAGGAGAGCAAGGCAAAGGATGACAAAAAGAAAGACCAAGGTAAACCGGAGCTGAGAAAAATCACCAAGCCTGACCTGAAGCCGCTCACCCCTGAAGTGAGAAAAACTCTGCATAAGGCCAAGGGTCTGGCTAAGCCGAAGTCTGACAAAAATAAAGCTGTTAAAGATGAAGCAAACGAGAAAAGGCCAGTTCCAAAGAACATCACTGAAGAGGTCGCAGCAGCAGCTCTGGCTGATAGGTCCATCATGTCCTCACCAGAAGACCTCACTGAGGACTTTGAGGCTCTAAAACAAGAGGAGATTTCCAAACAGAAGACAGGGTTTGTCCATAGTGATGTAATTCCAGTCAACTCAAATACTAAAGTTTCTTCTCAAGCTGTGCCCGATGAGAAAATAATGTCCACCATGGAGGTTAAGCTTGTTGGATCTGAATCCCCTGTTACTCAAGAAGACAACAAAAGCAATCAAGTTCTGGCTACTCAACAAAAAGATGTGAGTCATGGCTTTGACAAGTATGAAGAGGAGAAAACAGAGAGATGTGACTTTTTAAAAGAAACCGTGAGTGACAGATCCAAGAAAAGTGAGAGCTCAGAGGAGGAGGGTGATGTGATTGAGAAAGCTGAACTAGAAGGGACAGAAGATGATGAGGTCATGAAAATAAAAACAGAGGAGGTGAAAAAGGAGTGGGACACCAAACCAGCTGAGCAAAAAACAGCCACTGCACCTCTACCAGTCTCTGCCTCTGAACAGTTTTCCTTCATCCAAGATGAGACCATCCCTGGATACTCAGAGACAGAGCAGACAATTTCTGATGAGGAGATTCACGAGGAACCTGAAGACAAGATCCCACAGCTGCGTTACGATGTGGGTTCCTATGAAATTTCTGTTCCAGATGTTCCAGGTACATTTGAATCCATGCACGGGATTAAAGAGATGAAGAGTTCTGTAGTTTGTGGTGCTCCAGATGTCAAACCTAAAGCTATTGTGGGAAGTCAGGAGCCTGAGCTTGCACCATATCCTGCCATCATTGCTGCTCCTCTTGCAGAAGAGGAGCATATCTCTTCTGCAACATCTATCACAGACTATGACAGACTATCATCTTTTGCTACCTCTGTGGCTGAGGACCAATCAATTGCCTCTGTTACGGCACCTCAGACAGAAGACATCGGGAGGAATTCCCTCTTGTTGGAAACCATGAACAGTGCTCCATCACGTGCGGAGGCTGCCCAAGGGAAAGACTATCTCCATTCAGCAGGTACCATATCTCCCACCTCCTCCCTGGAGGATGACAAGTGCTTTAAATCTCCGTCCTCTGATGAATATCAACCCAACATTCCAGAGATAGATAGTGATGCAAAGACCAAAACAGTCCATGAAGAAGAAGATGATGAGGAAGATGAGGATGAAGACCAAACTCCAAATGTTGACATTCCCCTGGGAAAACTTCAAGAGGGCTATGAACAAGCTACCTCCTTGATGCACCAAGAATTACTGAAATCTCCCTCCACTGGCATTCCTTCACAGCCTGTCAAGGAAGACCAGACTCTAATTGGTGCAGAAGAATTCAAGACCACTGCTGATGTAAAAACTATCTCACCCCCTCCATCTTTCTCTCCTGGGCTAGAGTCCAGGTCCAGGCAGGACAGTGAGGAGAGATGCTTTAGTCCTGATGATAGTACCATGAAATTGGCCTCACCCACACAGTCAGTGCCCACAAGCAGTGGCTACTCTCCAACAGAAGAAAAGGTTTTAAAAGCAGAAGAAAAAGATGAGGGACTGACGACTGCTAAGGCTGAAATACATAAAACTGACAGATCGGTTACCATCTCAGATAATACCTCCTTTATTGGCTTGCCAGGTGACAAAACAGCTTTCGAAGCATCTGAGGAATCAGATGAGGACAGTGAGGATGACTATTACACCAAAAAGGAGTTAAAGCCTGTTTTAAAAGCTAAACTCATGGAAGCAAAAGAGGGTTGCTTTTTAGATGATGACTTTGAAGGGAAATGTGCAAAGACAGAACCGGGAGCTCAGAGTTCAGACAAGATACAAGTGTCCATTAGCACTATGGAAAAAACCAAACCAAAAGTGATGTTTTCTGATGAAGACGATGAAGACGATGAAAAGGATGGCGGCTCTAAAATCCTTTCAGATGAAAAAGACCAAGTGGAGAAAACTGATATTACCATCACAGAGTCAGAGAAAAGTGTCCATTTCAGTCTTTATGAATGTCCAGAGAAAGAGAGCCGAGAGAGGGCAGTGTATACAAGACAGGACACACCATATGTCCATGGCAAAACATTCTCTTATGGTGATATTTATGACAGCAAAACAAGCTCGGAGGAGTCTGATTTGTATCGAGAAGAGTCTCAAGATAAGGTAGAGCAAGTATCTTCAAAGACTGAAGCAGATTTGCACAAAGATGAATCTCCATCACAAGACATGTTATCGGACAAGGTGTTAGAAAAAGAAGTAAAAGAGTATTCCACCTCTGATTGGATTGAGTCTAAGAGTACATCAGCCACAGATCAACTTGAAAAAGAGGTGAAAGAAAAAGAAACATTTGTTTATAGTCAGACTAGTCGTTTCCCTTCAGTGGCTGACAGACCTGAAGCTTCAACCACTTGTTTAAAGTCAGAAGAGGATCATGCTCCCATCACAAAGCCCCCGACTTTCACCTCAGTCACATCCGGCTACAGCGAGAAAAGTGCATGTTTAGAGATTGATATGCGGAAATTTACAGCAAGGGATGAAGAGGATTATGATGATGATGAAGTTCTTGATGACGATGAGGAGGAGGAAGAGGAGGATGAAGATGCAATTGATTCTGACACTGAGAAAGGTGCCAAAGAGAAATCTGAGAAAGAAGCAAAAAGTCCAGTTAGTGAAATGCTAGCCTCAAACCGACCTGAATTCATCGTTTCTATGGCGGGATACAGTTACAACAGTCAAGTAAAGCCAAGCATTACAGAAACCAGTTCAAGTTCAGGAACCAAGGCTGAAGATGAAGCCCAGGCTGAGTTCTCCTGTGTCAATGGAAAACCAGTTCATGCAGGAGCTACCAGTTTGTCTAGCTACTCCTCAGGTTTTGAAGATTCGTACAAGAAAGACTTGTTTATGTCAAGTCAGAGTGGAGACAAAGATAAAATAGATTCTCCTTTTAAATCAAGTGAGGATGGCTACTATCGAAGCCAAAAAGACAGCATTGAATTTGAGAAACAAAAGACACCAGATATTCTGAGTAAGAGCTCATTGGAAACAAACTTTCAGTACACAACCACAGCTGCTGCCCCGGGCTACTCATCTTCTTCAGCATACAGCTACTCATCCTCCACCTCAGGCTCACTATCCACTAGCCGACAGTTTGGAGAGGAGCTAGAGACACCTGCGTCTGCCGAGCCTCCCTTTGAGTATTCCTCATTTAAAGATGAACACTCGCTTGTCATGGATTCTCCTTTCTCCAGCTCAGCTGGCGCTAAAGATGATTATCTTGAAGTCTCTGAGAAGCAAATCACTGTAACAACCACGGCAGAGTCCAGCTCGAGTTTAGCTCGCTTCTCACCCCTCAGTCCTTTTGAGGAGGTCAAATCCTTTCCAGCTGTCTCATCTGCAACTACAACTCAAGAGAAGGAACATGGAGCTCCGATAGGTGGAGTTTCTGATAAAGCACCTCGATCGGACTGCTTCTATAAGCCTGAATGGCCTGAGGATACAAAGCTGGACACAGCTGCTGGGTTTGGGGCCTCTGTGGGTCCTTTCGCAGACTTCTCAATGAATAAAGAGGCAGCCAGTGCTGCTTTGTTTGGCGTAACTTCCTCTCCTCGACCTGACATTGAAGGCAAACATTACTTTGAGGAGACTGATAGCAGTGAGGAGGAGGATGAGGAGGCATATCTGCGTAAAATGACCCAGAAGTCTCCTTCCACTGGTCCTACAAGTAGCCTTCCATTTTGTGATAAGCCATTGGCTGCAGCCTTCAGTGGAAAGACAAGTGATGCACGTCCAGATTCTCTTGGCTCTTACATGTCGACACCACTTCAGACCACTAAGTCAGACACAACAAATGGCCCGACAGAGGTATGCACAAGTAGTACCCTTCCTTCTGCGGTAACGACAGGTGGAGCACTTTCAGCATCAGCTAAATTGGAGTCCAAAGAGGGAGCAGCAGGTTACATTCGGAGTTCCTATGAGTGGGAAATGCCTAAGCCTCAAATGGGGATGGTGCCTGGAGACTCCCCTCCTCATTACCGCCATGATGATGAGTTTGAGGAGGAATGTGAGATGGAGCCAGAGCACCCCCCTCGCCCACTTTCCCTTGCCTCTGCTGATCAGCAGTTTCGCTCACCATTCTTTGCAGAAGAGTGTAGCCGAGGTGAGCAGGATGATGATGATGATGATGATGACAGTGATCAAGACCTACCCATAGGAGCAACCTCTTCTTACACCAGCCGCACCTCCCCTGGATACTCATCTTCTGAATTCAGGCAGCGTAAAGAAGACTTGTCGCCATCCTTCATCAACCCCTGCATGAGGCAGTTTTCTAGTGACGAGCATGACAAAGAGGAAGGCCACAGAAGTGATCAGTCACAGGAGGGAGAAGAACACGACCTATCAGTCAAGAAGAGAGCTCACAAACAACCCCATGTTCAACACACTCATTGCAGAGACAGCAGCACTCTGTACCAGGCTGGTGGTATGTCTGCAGGGCTGTGTCTGGCCACAGAGGACACCCCGCCTACCTCTGTCAGCGAGTCTCTACCCTCTCAGTCAGAGTCAGATCTGCATCCTGGTACTGAAGAGTACCCCTCAGTTGTTGGTGAAGGCAACATGGACTCAGACGAGGATGGAGAATATATGCCGATTGATAAATCTGCTACCGGTCGAAGTAGCCATCATTCTGCTTCCAGGAGTAGCCATGACCCTCCTCCTGCACCAGTATTGGACCCACATCCTCACCCTCCACACCCAGATGTCTGCATGGTGGATCCTGACACTTTAGCTAATGGTTCTCTGAAGAAGGAACCAAAAGCAAAAAGCCTAAAAAAATCTTCAGGAAAAACAAAATCAGCATCTCCTGCCAGGCGTAGGAGGTCTCCCATGCCTGTAAAACAGACCTCACCACGGAGCGCCTCTCTGAAGAAAAAGGACACCGACAAGAGCTCACGTATGTCTCGTCTGTCGGACGGACAAGGCTCAAAAGACGATGACCTCTCCAGATCCAGCTATAACGTTGGCAAAGGGCTGACAAATGGTGTCAAAACCAGCTCAGGTGAGCAAATGCAAAGTAAAATGTAAAAAGGCTGCATCAGTTTTGACATTGACTTGTCTGATTTCATCTAAAACATAAAAATAGATAAAAATGCCACTCCTGGTCGATATAAGTAAAAATATGAAATAAGCAGTCCTATTTTTAAGGAACATAATCTTACATTATTTTTTATTCTTTCTCTGATTTCAGTACATTTATTCATAAGGTATAAAAACCATAAGAAATACTTTTTAAAGCATTTATTAGGGTTATCATTTTTCGTAAAACTACCTTAAGTCAAGAGGATTGTGTTCATCCTTCTATAGTTATTTAAAAATGTTCACAAGAAGCATAACATGAAAAACATATCTATGTTTTTTAAAGGGATTTGTAGCAGAAATAATATTTGCACCACCTGTGATTGTGTTAAAATGGTTTATTTCTTAAGACCATTTTTTCCCCCTTATTAAAAGGAATTAGGTAGATGTTTTCATTTTGCCTAATTTTTTATTGGGGTGTGATTATGCTTGAAATAAAGGTCATTTTGAAGGATGTATA